AGACATTGGCCCCAGCCTTTGCTTGTTGTTTATTTTTAATTTTTTTAATTTTAATTTTTGTGGCTACATAATGGGTATATATATGTATGGGGTACTTTAGATGTTTTGATATAGGCACATGATATGAAATAACACATCATGAAGAATGGGGTATCCATCCCCTCAAGCATCTATCCATTGAGTTGCAAACATTCCAATTACACTCTCTAACCCATTTAAAAATGTACAGTTATTATTGTACTTGTTGCTTATTGTTTCTGCTTTCCTCTCCCATTTCTGTCATTGCGCTGGTTTCTAGGCTAATCTTTTGGGTTCTGTGAGTCTCCTCCATCATTGTTCATCCTCCAGACCTTGGCCAGACAACTTTTTCCAAAGAAAACAATATTCTAACCACTCTGTTTAAGGAAGCCCTCAGTTACTCCCCTGGGAATCAAGCCACACTCCCAACGTGGTGTCTGTAGGGGAATTCAAGTTTCCAAGCTGATGACTTAGGCAACTTGGGAACAAACGCTTGCGATGCAACTCTTCTGTGAGTCGGAGAAGGTCTCTTCTAGGTCTTTGTTTGCTTCAGAGTCCTCAGAAAGTAAACACAACTGACCTGATTATCCCCCTACACTTCCCCCTGAGCCAGAGTTATCTCAGGTTAACTCAGGGAAGAGGCTAAATTAAGCCTTGAAACCAAGCAGACGAACATGACAGGCACTTTGTTTTGCTTGAGTGACTGTGATGATGGGTCTTTGGTTATAAGGGCAGCACTAATTGCATCTTCTTAGACCAACTGTGGCCATCTATTCCCTGGCCTGCAGAGACTGGGAGATGCCAGGTTACCCCACAGCACCCACTCATTCATTCAGCACAATTTTCTTAAGTGCCCGCTTTGTGCCTGGCACCATGCTTGGAGGTGGGGATTCAAAAGCGCTGCCGCCAAGGGCTTTCAGTCTTTCTAAGAAGATAGATGATAAATCAGAGACTCCATTAAAGAGGTGACTAGTGCTTGGATAGACATCGGTCCAGGGCAGTAAAGGGAATGAATTTCTAAGGTTCTTACAACCAACTTATCATGACTTTGTGCGAAGTTTGAGGCATGGAATCACCAAAATAAAAAGGGGGTGTCCACTGACGCCTGCAAACTAGCAAACAGACACAACCACTTTGAAAACTATTGGCCTGACGCATTGGCTCATGCCTATAATCCCAGCACTTTGGGAGGCCAGGGAGGGCAGATCATGAGGTTAGGAGTTCAAGGCCAGCCTGGCCAACGTGGTGAAACCCCATTTCTACTAAAAGTACAAATATTAGCTGGGCATGGTGGCGTGCACCTGTAATCCCAGCTACTTGGGAGGCTGAGGCAGGAGAATTGCTTGAAACGAGACCCAGGAGGCAGAGGTTGCAGTGAGTCAAGATTGTGCTACTGTATTCCAGCTTGGGCTACAGAGCGAGACTTCATCTCAAAAAAGAAAAATTGTTGAGCTGTAGCCACTAACGTCAAATGTATACATACCCTGTGCCCAGCAGCTCTAGGTCTGTATGTAGTCAATAGGAAATGCACATGTGAATTTTATATTAAAAGAGAAAACTATAAATAAATACTGACCTGTAATTAAAACGTGCAGCAGGCTGCAGTGTTTAAGGGGAAGAGAAATAATATCTGCAGTTTAGGCCAAGCATGGTGACTCATGCTTGTAATCTCAGCATTTAGGAAAGCTGAGGCAGGGGAATTGCTTGAACCCAAGAGTTCGAGACCAGCCTAGCAACATAGTTGGACCCAGTCTCTACAAAAAAAAATTTTTTAATTTAGCCGGGCATGGTGGTGCATGCCTGTGGTCCCAGCTGCTTCGAAGGCTGAGGAAGGAGGATCGCTTGGACCCAGGAAGTCAAGGCCAAGTGAGCCATAATCACACCAGTACACTCCAGCCCGGACAAAAGAACAAGAGCCTGTGTCAAAATAATAATTAATAATAGTGATGATAACATATGTAGTTTAAAATGCACTCATAAAAGAAGATAGATGAATAAGAAATGGGCAGATATGTGATAAAGCTACTATGGAAACGTGTTAGTCATGGAGTTGAGATGGTGAGTTTATGGGTGCTCACTGTAAAATTTTTCAGCTTTATGTTAATAAACTTCATATGAAATATTGGGAAAGATGTATACACATGCTTGCCCGGAGATATGTACAAGAATGTTCATAGCAGCATTATTCATAATAGCTCCAAACTTGAAGCAGTGAAAATGCCCATCAGCCATAGAATAGAGACATAAATTGTGGGTGTAGTGATCCAATGGAATACTGTTCACGTATGAGAGTGAATGAGCCACAGCTATACACAACGATGTGAGCAGATCTCACAAACACGGTGTTGAGAGTAAGAAATCCGACTCGAAAGAGGATGTGCTGTGTGATTCCATTTATGCAAAATTCAAAACCAGGCAAAACTCGTCGGTGGTGTTAGAAGCCATGACGGTGGTTTTTAGGAGGTAGGGATAGTGACTGGACAGGGCACTGTGGGGGGCTCCTGGGTGCTGGAGGGCTCTGTTTCTTGGTCTCAGTGCTAAACAGATATGAAAATGCATCAAGCTGTACATTTAGACTTTGTGCACGTTCCTGTATGTTTACTATACATCAGCAAAAGCATACGAGGGGAGAAAAAGCAGGAAGATCAAACGAATCCAACTAGAAGCTTTCCCTATCCAAGCTATTGGGGTAGGAACCCACTGTAGGCCTCTCTAGTAAACCAGAGTTGTGAAGATATGAAACTTGCCTTTAGGGCGTTCATTTGTTCACTGAGGCATATATTCATGTTGCATCAGTCCCTCCATTCTTCACTGGTGTGCTTGCCTCTCCTTCATACAGATGTTCATTCATATACACTGTGCTCCGGATCCAGATCTGCTCTATAAGGAACGACCCAGCCCCTTCAGGAGCTCATATGCACAGAGAGAGAGGCATGCCGGCATTTCATTTCCCAGCCACATTTCCACATTCCTGGATTCCCATTTGTGATCCTTCCTGGGTATGTGCCCTAAGTTAGCATTTGAATGAGAGAAACAGAACCAGTAAGATAGATACAGGTGCATGTAAAGAGATGTCTTATACGGAACTGACTCGTGATTTTGGAGACCAGCAAGCTCTGAGATCTGTCGGGTGAGTCAGCAAGCAGGAGACCCAGGATAGCCGGTGGTGTGGTTCCATCCGAAGCTCTGCAGGCTCAAGGCCCAGGAAGAGCTGCCTGAAAATTGACAGTTTGAGTTCAAAGGCAGGAAAAAGCAGTGTCCCAGCTTGAAGGCAGGCAGGCAGGAGGAATTTGGGGGGATGTCGCCTTTTCGTTTCAGTCAGGCCTTCAGCTGATTGGCCAGTGACCATCCACATTGAGGAGGGCAGTCTGCTTTCTTCAGTCTCCTAATTCAAATGTCAATCTCATCCTGACACACACATCCAGAATATCACATGACCAACTATCTGGGCATGCATGACCCAGTCATGCTAACACATAACCATCATTAAACCCTGAAGCATGAAAAGCCTTCTGGCTCTGAAGGTGCAGCCCTGTGATGGAGGAGGTGGAGCCAGGGGCCTGGCCTGGTGCACATGACATCACAAGTGGATGCGCTGTCACCAGCATGCACTTTGGTCCTATTTTACATTTGGTTTGGATCAGTCATTGGTGGAAGAGAAGGCTTTGGCTGCCCAGTCTGCCTCCTGGATGGCGATGTTTTCTGTCTTAGAAGATAAAAAGTTATTTTGATTATTGCAAAATATATCATGCATACAAAAAGAGTAGCTGGAAGATATGCCTGCAGTTTAAAGGAACAGTTTAAAGTTTAGCAGATGACAGATGACAAGTATCAGAAGGCCACTGGTTCCCCGCCCTAAAGGCAGCCTCTCCACTCTTGCCTGGAGAAAGCCACTCTCCTGAGTTTTGTGCTAGCCATTTTTGTGCTAATCATTCTGTTACTTTTTATGAAAATCAAAGAGCACATCTCTAAAACAATCTAAAACAACAGATGACTTGGTTTTGCCTATTTTGAGCCTTTAAGACTCAAACTGCTGCACAAATGTGTCTGCCATGTGCTCTTTCCCTCCGCTGAGTGTCTGGGCTTTGTTCATGTTGTTGCATGTAGCTGCCATTGATTCATTTCACTGGCATATAATATTCCACTGTAGAGACTGACCACCACATGTTCACCTGCTCCCCCCTTGGTGCTTATCTGGGTAACTTCCAGTTCACAGCTATGGCAGTTGAAGCCCATGGGACCAGTCCTGCTCACGTCTCCAGATGCACAGAAGTGAGGCTTTCTCTAGGGTAGACACCAGGCAGAGCAGGTGCCCAGTGGTAGAATATGTCTCTTCCCTTTTCTAGCTAATGCCAGGAAATACTCTGCAATGATTGTAGCAGTATCTATTTCTACCAGGGATTATGAGAATTTCTCATGGTACTACTCATCCACACCATGCATAGACCCCTTACCATCCTGCCTGGTCTCAATGAATCACCTTCCCTGGCTTCCAGCCACCCCTACCCATACCGCAGTCAGAGCTTTAGTATGGTGGGACTGTGATGTCCCCTGCGTACTTCGTGGATACTCAGGACAGCACGCTTCTTGGGTGTAACACAGTATGTGAGCGTGTGTGAAATTCCCATCACAGGGCGGAGGGCACAGACTTTCATTTGGCTGCAGTGCAGCTGTCCCGGTTTCTCCTTCAAGGGAAAGGAAGAAAACAAGCTCAACCAAGTGGGTGGTGCCCGGGTAGACTCTAGGCTCCTCTTTCAGCACCAATGTCAGGACGCTCACCTTCTAAACTGATGAGCCGTGTTCTGCCATTTTCCCATGGCCGAGAGCAAGGTGTCCCAAGATGGGATCCGTGTATGTGATTTGTCATTCCTCCGCCATGGTCTCGCCTGCAATCATGCGATCACCACCCCCTGCAGCTCTGCCTGGCTTGGAGGGGATGCTTATAAATGACCATCTTTTGTGCTGTCTCTTTCCAATTACAGGTTAGCCTGGCGAGGAAGATAAAGACATTTACAACCAAGATGGTAATCACGAGTGGAAATGATGAAGACAGAGGAGGTCAAGAAAAAGAAAGCAAAGAGGAGAGTGTCTTGGCAATGCTGGGGATCATTGGGACCATTCTGAACCTGATTGTGATCATATTTGTCTATATATACACCACCCTGTGAATGGCCCAGAACATCCTCAGTGCCCTCAAGATGGCCAAAGACAGGAGTCCTGCGTGTTGGCGGATCACTGGCCGAACCCTGCAGGAACAAGCAGGCTTGACCCAAACACGCCGCCCAATCAAATGCACCTTCACACAGTATAAAAGGTCACACAAATAGACCAATCCTGCTGCAGGGAGCAGAAGACACTAAAGCACAATGATTCCAACAAAACTCATTCGCAGCACTAGGAACTCAATGTCTTTGGCAGGGGCCCCAGAAGAATGATTGGAAGACCAGCCTCTGACACCATCGGTGAGCAGATGGGTGCAGACATTCATTATTCCAGATCGCTGACAGATATCACATATTTGAAAAGATGAATAGGGCGGACATGGCTCAGATGCGTGTCTCCCAGGACAAGTGTTTCATCTTCACTTGATGAGCTATTTAGTGGAAAAACCACAGGGGCAACCCTTTGACAGGCATCCCATTCATCAAAAGTGTCTATTTGATACCGGGGAGATAACTTATTTTTCTTTTTTCATTGGCTTGACGTGTGTATCTGTTCATATCAAGGTTTATAAATATATATTTTTAATAAATGTGCTCTATTTTTTAGCATGAACCAAATACTTGGAGAGGCACTCCCAGATCCATAGAGCTTTCCTTGGTTTTATCTGCTTTGCCCACGCCCCTCCCCCAACTGCAGATGTTCTCGTCTCATCTTGAGTCTTTTACTTTGCGCTCTTGTTCTCTCTTTCTCTCTCTCTCTCTCTGTCCTCTCTCTCCTTCTCTGTCTCTCTGCCTCTTTGGTCCGAAGGACATTTTCCCATACTACCAGCCATGGCTTTGGTTGGCGCATGTTTTAAGATTGTCCATTGAGTGGCTTTTTGTTGTTATATCGGAGATATAAAACGATTGTGGGCATGCAGACCTAGATGCACCATATCTTTACTGAGAATTATGCATGAATCAGGGCTGAGTGATAGATCAGCTTAAAACGCAAAGGACTACCTTGAGAAAGAAGAGCGTGGCTATGTTTGCAGATGAACTTTTGAACGGAATATTCTCCTTACTGACAGCATTATTATTTCATTCTTGTGAACATTTGTTTATCAGATTTTGATTTTAGTGGTCATGTACCGGGAGAGTTGGGAAGAACAAGGCGGAAAGCTCAGTACTAGGTGCATTACTCCTTCCTTTACGAGATACCCAGGATCCTCTTCAAAAGTGGGTGGGGTGTAAATGACGCTTGAACTCCGCCCTGAGAGCTCATGGTGGTTCAGGCTGTGAGGATAGCCCTGTGACAAGTGACTTTTAATGGGCATGAGGAGGGGATTTAATGATTGCCCTAAAGGACTGCTGCATTTTAAAGTCCCTGGTTTACACCCACATGAAGCTACTTCCTCTCTGGCAGGGATGGTTGAATAAAAACAAATTAGCTCCCTTCTCCTGGCTCCCTGAAATAGGCCCTTGCCTGGCTACAGTGGCATGGCCTTAATGAGAGAGTTAGTATTCCTTCTGCCATTGTCAGCTGAATTAGTCCATCTTCACCCTGCTGATAAAGACATCCCCAAGACTCGGCAATTTCGAAAGAAAGAGGTTTATTGGGCTTTCAGTTCCACGTGGCTGAGGAGGCCTCACAGTCGCAGTGGAAGGTGAAAGGCAAGTCCCATATGGTGGCAGATGAGAAGTGAATACATGTGCAGGGAGACTCCCCTTTTTAAAACAATCAGATCTCGTGAGACTTATTCACTGTCACGCGAATAGCTTGGGAAACCTGCCCCCGTGATTCAGTTACCTCCCGCTGGGTCCCTTCCACAACATGTGGAAATTTAAGATGAGATTTAGGTGGGGGCACAGCCAAACTGTATCACCAGCCTTGACCCTGGGCAGAAGCAGCAGCAGTCTGCCGGGCTGGATCAAACGATTCTGAGGCTTCTATAGTCTATACCTCCAGATCTCTCCCTCACCCATGCTATGGTGTCTCAATTTCCACCATTAGAGAGTCCTTTCTTGGGCTCTGTTAAAGGAAACATGCTCTTTTATAAAGCAAATGCCCCTGAGCAGCTGGCCCTGGCATTGATTTATCAGATGTCTTCTCTTCCCGGCCAGAAGGAAGGAAGCTAAGGTGCATATAGGGCATACTGTGTGCCCAGGCACTGTGCCAGATGCTTTAGATACCTAGTCATTGAACTCTCATAGTAACGCTGTGAGAGAGGGAGTCTTTCCCACACATTGTAGAGAAGAATAAAGGGCTCAGAGAGATCAAGAAATGTCCCTGAGATCAGACGGCTACTAGTGGAGTCAGGGTCCAAATCCGATGTATCTGATTCCTTCGCCCTTGGGGCTCCAGAGGCTGCTGGGCAAGAGAGGAGGTGGAGAGGTGAGAAAGCGCAGGAAGACCACCGCACACCCTTCTCCCTCCCCGAAAAAACCCTGGGAACTTTTTGGACACTGGCAGAATATCATACACTAAGGACAAGAGATGAGAGGAGGCTGGTTAGAAATTAATGTCAGGGAGAAGGAGCTACTCAGGCTCTGTGTGATTCTAGAAAAACTGTATGATTCTGAACAGTTAACAGAATAAACAATAAAGGTGCAATGGAAAAAAAATACTTGATGTCTCTTCATTCAACATTGTGGGATATGAAAAAATTCAATGTCATTCCTTTGCCTATACAGAGTGTTATTTTTTAAAAAACTGAGTGTGATGCTGTTAAATGGAGACTGTTTTGTTTGGACTATGGAAGTCTCAGTGATTTTGCAAGTATACTCATTTGAAATGTATTGAGGGGGGAAAGGGCCTTTCCAGTCCTCTGCTCCCTGGATGGTTCTTCTAGGTTGTCCTGATCCACAGCCTGGAAATAAAGCTGCCTGTTCAGTGTTGGACAGAGCAGCATCACCCACAGCTCCAGTGTGCCCTGTCCTATTTCCTTTCTAATTCAGTAGAGACCACGAACACGCACTGGACAAACTCAGCTTTCCCCAGATCTGAAGCCATCGCAAAGGGACATGCAAGGGAGAGGCAGGCAGTGCCCCTCCATCCTCAACATCCGAGTGAGCCCCGAGCCCAGCCTTGGCCAGCGGTACAATACTCAAAACAACCCCAAGGCCGTATACTCTACCAAGCACTTTCCACTCATCCCGTGGGGCACAGAATAATCACATGAGATGTGTGTGTTTATCCCCACTTTACAAGATGAGGAAAAGAAGCAAATGGACTTTTCCGGAATTGCAGCCAGAACCCAGCAGAAGTTAGGTCTTTGCCCCACGTCCACCAGCTGTCAGCACCTTGCCTGCCCCAGGTGGTGTGTGTGATGAGCCATCTGGCTAGCTCACTCTCACAAGATACGGATTCCCATCACCCTGGCACTTCTCGATCACAATACAGCTGGCCCTGTATTGATCATAATCCAACTGGCCTTTCACCTCTCCCCTGGGGAAGCAACTTTGAACACTCAGGTCCCAGCAGTGGAGGGCCAGTGTGCTGCCTCATGGCTTGGAACCGCGGGGCACTTGCCCTATGGCCAGAAACCTGGTCCTGAGCCCCATCTCTGCCTCTTTCAATCTAAGTGACCTTGCAGGCGGCTCACAGGAACTCTGAGCCTCAGCTTTCCTCATCTGTAGGAGGGGATAACAACAGCCCCACCTGGAGGAGCTTTGTAAGGATTAAAGGAGCCTGATCAGCTGCAGCTGCGAGCACAGGGCCTGGCCCGCAGCTCATGCTCAGGTCAGGCTAAGCTCCTGCAGCTTCATAAAGGCACTCAGGGAGCCACTGGGCAAACATTTTTGGGGGCCCCTCCTGGCCTCGCTCCCTCCAGTCTGCATGGTGCCCTTGCCTGCAGGGAGGCCCAGAGGGGCCTCATGCCAGCCACAGAAATAGTAGCTCACATGGCAGCTCGGTCCGCCTGTCTTTTCATAAATCACACACGCATAGTCACAGTCAAAAAAGAATTACAATTCTAAAAATTCTATACAAGCACTTTTTAAAATTCAGGTAATTCCCAAATCTCACTACCCAGAAGCAACCACAATTAATATTTAGTGTGTAATTTATAGAGCAGGTGGCTTCATATCTGTTTGATGAGTCCATTTTCCTTGAATTTTGAAATCTGCTTGCCCTCAGGCAGGGCACACTCCTCAGCTACTGTCCCCAGGGTCTGCTCTCCACATTTCTATAACTTGGATCACAAGATGTTCTAGACGACATCTTTGAATGGCTGTCCAGGCATTGACCTATAAACAATAGATTGGATATTGTAATTTACAAAAAATGGCCTCATGCTATGAGCATGGCCCCCAAATAATTTTGTCACTGGCAATTATGGATACGTTTTCATGTCAATGGATCTATATGGGCAAGCCCTTGTGATGGTTGTTTGGTGCTCTGTGGTTTAGATACACTGATGCAAAGTCCCCTGTTCTCTTATTGCTGACCCTTAAGGTCATTGTCAATGTTTTGCTTTGAACCACGCAGCCGTGCTCTTCAAAGCATCCCAAGCATTGCCCTTACCTCCCCCGTGATCCCCTAGAGTGGTCTCTGGTGGTGTGTTTTACAGCAAGTTTCAAGGACATATACCTCTCTCCCTCTCTCCCTCCAACCCTCCCTCCCTCCTTCTCTGCCTCTCCCTCTCCCTCCCTCCCTCTCGCTTCTCCTTCTCCCTCCATCCATCTCTCCCTCTGTCCCTCTGTCCCTCTCTGCCTCTCCCTCCATCCCTCTCTGCATCTCCCTCTCCGTCCATCCATCTCTCCTTCTGTCCCTCTCTCCCTTTTGCCTCTCCCTCCATCCATCTCTGCCTATTCCTCTCCCTCCCTCTCTCTCTGCCTCTCCTTCTCCCTCTGTCCATCTCTCCCTGTCCCTCTCTGCCTTTCTCTTCTTCTCTCCCTCTCCCTCACTCCCTCTCCTTCTCCCTCTGTCCCTCTCTCCTTCCATCCTTCTCTGCCTCTCCCTCTCCCTCTCTCTTTGCCTCTCCCTCTCCCTCTCCTTCCACCCTTCTCTGCCTCTCTTCCTCCCTCCCTGCCTCTCCTCTCTCCTCCTTCCCTCTCTCTCTGCCTCTCCCCCAGTCCCTCTCTCCCTCCCTCCTTCACTGCCTCTCCCTCTCTCTGCCTCTCCCTCTCCTCCCTCCCTTCCTCTCTCCCTCTCCCTCCTTCCTGGTCTGTCTCTGCCTCTCCCTCTTCCTCTCCCCCTCTTCCATTTCTCCTAGTCCCTCTCTGCCTCTTCTTCTCCCTCCCATTCTGCCTCCCCATCTCCCTCTGTCCCTCTCTTTATTCTTCCCTCTTTCTCCCTCCCCTTCCTCCTCCTCTAAGCACCAGGGCATCAGCTCACTTTCCTCTCCTTTACATGTGGCCACCCCCATGCTTGCCTGGGTGGGGGGCCTCCTTTCCTACCAGCTGCCTGCAGAGCATGAGAAAGCCATCCCCTTCCCCGTCTCTCTGTTCTCTGTTCTCCGCACCAACAATCCCATTGGCCCTTTAGGCACTTTCCTAACAGCGACTTCAGGAGCCCAGACTGGCTAGGAGCATGCCACGAATTGGGAAGAGAAAGTTCCAGAGGCCAAATTCCCGATTCCTCTTCTAAAAGAGCTCACCTAGGAGACTTGTGGCCTCTACCTCCCTAAAGGCAGGATCCCTGTAACAGGACACCTCCAGAAAGATGCCCGTGTGGTCCGGGAGACCCTCTGGCACCACTCTGTAATGATTCCTCCCTGTCATGGGAAGCAGATGGGATGAACAGACTGTCAATATTTTCTGTTGTTCATAAACATGTTACATAAAACTGTGGATACTTTTCCCAGAAGATGGGCTACATGTTGCCGCAAGAAACAAGATTCTGTAACTGTCAATTTTCTCTTAAAAGACTTTGTTAAGAGGTGTGCTTGTTTACTTTCTCCATTTCCTTAGGGAGTCATGGGGAAACTTTTCCAGAATGAGAGTCACAGTTGCATGTCTCCATGGGAAAGTAATAAAAGCTCATCGTCCCTCTCTCCCTGACACAGCAGTCCACCAGGTACATAGCTCAGCTTCAAAGCCCGGGCATCCAACTCTGTCATCCACTCCTGACTACCAAGAAGGCAGCACATCTCAACATCCTGTTGGGGCACTGGCAACATCCCGCCTCCCAGCCAAGAGCAGGAAGCAGGGGGGTCGTAGCTGAATAGCCCTAAGCATTGCAGTTAATCAAAAATAAGAGGACAGCGCTTTTAACTAGGATCTGTCTCACTGGGACTAAAGGAATCAAAGTTAGAACAAACACAGAGAGGTGAGTCAGCCTTAATTCTGGCAAGATTTAAAGCCGACGCTTTATGTCTCCCTTATCTCATCTCTCTCTTAACCAGGAAGGGGTTGTTTCTAGCACGAAAGGCCAAAGGCACAGATTGACTGACCCATCCATGTGGGCCAGCCACAAATCCAAGCAGACAGGACATTTCATCGCCGAGACCTCGAGCCAGGGAAAATTGACTTCAGGTGCTTCCTCACAAGCCTGCACATGCCAGAATGAACAGCGGTGTCTTCTATTGGAGTGGATATGTGGTTAGCTTGCCTAGCCCCTCGGTCACTTTCCGAAGAGATTCATAATTCTCGCAACAGAAACCAGGCAGCCGCCACAATGCGGTGTCCTGCCCATGGTTACCATAGCTCTCTCCCCTTCTCACCATCCAAGCCTCTGTTGTCACAGCCTCTGGAGTCACTGCCTGACTGAGGTTGGCCATGTTCTTTTTTTCTTTTCTTCTTTTCTTTTCAGATGGAGTCTCTCACTGTTGCCCAGTCTGGAGTGCAATGGCATGATCTTGGTTCACTGCAAACTCCACCTCCTGGGTATAAGTGAGTCTCCTTCCTCAGCCTCCTGAGTAGATGGGATTACAGGTGACCGCCACCACGCCTGGCTAAATTTTTTGTATTTTTAGTAGAGACGGGATTTCACTATGTTGACCAGGCTGGTCTTAAACTCCTGACCTCGTGATCCACCCGCCTTGGCCTCCCAACGTGCTGGGATTACAGGTGTGAGCTACCACACCCAGCTGTGGCCATGTTCTTTCTTTGGTAATTTTGTTTTCGTTTCTAAAGAACCCACTTTAGTGTTTTTAGTTCTAAGGACTGTATTGTGGAACTTTGGGTTCTGAAGTTCTGAGACTGCCTCAGTGTGGAAGAGGAATGTGAACTCAGCTTCAAGAGGCTGTTCTGGCTTCATGCTGGCTTGGCCACCCAAGCTGCCAATAGTTCTCACCTATCACGTCTTCCACCAGAAAAGGTGATGGATCATTCCATTGCCTGTGAGTACTGAAGCAGTAAGTGTATGCAGAAAGCCAATCCTCACTCCTCAAGGACCATCCCCCTTTTTTTCTGAGAGCCAGGAAGTTATCCTGAAATGGAACTGGGATTCAGAAGTAGAAAACCTGTGTTCAAGTCCCAACACTGCCATGTATTGACTATTGATCTTAGATCACACCTTCAATGTTGCTGAGCCTTCATCTTGTTTTGAGTTTAATAATTCTGGTCTCTCAGTGTTGTGTGGATTACATCTTTATTTAGTATCATTTGAGGAACTGAGAAATGTGTCCTTCTGCTAGCAGTTAATCCCAGAAATTACAAATTATATAGAGATGATAGATAGA